AAAAAAAAAAAGAAAAAAGAACTGCAAAGGAGAAGGCAAGCAGTACTACTCATGAAAATAATGTCTTCAGGTGGAATGAAAACCCTCAACCAAGAGGACTCTCAGGGTGCAAGAGATTGGAGGGAAAAAGCAAAAATTAGTAAGTAGCATCTCTTGGAGTCCTACATTCTTAAGCAGAGCTGGAACTCCACTCCATCGCCTTCCGACAACCAAAACCCAGGCTGCCCTACAGTCCTTCCAGTGACCCTATAGGGTGGAGCAGAACCCACCAACCAAGGAAATGGCAAATTGAAAGAGAAACAGAATAGTGGTGTCCGTCCACTGCCATCTCCAATTTATCCGCCTTAAAAACTCCCCCAATACAAAAGCTCACATGGGAAACGTTTCAAAGGGTCCAGCTCAGCAAAGAGGGACAGCTGGCCTAAATTTAGCCGGTCTTCCTAAGGCAGCACAGCTGCTGTCAGAGTACATTTCAGGGATGACATTCACAAAGGCAATGTTCTCCATCCTACTTTGGGGAGCAATGGCTGGGGTCCTAAAAACCTGTGAGTGGCCACGGATGGTGCAACTACTGGTCCCTCCCCCCTGGAACAAACAAGAGTGATGAAAACCAAAGGTGCAAGGAAACAATGAATCCAAAAGTCTGATGGACAAAATAAACCCCAGTCCTCCCACCCTGGGACCAGAAGAACAAGATGGTGCTCTGCTACCTTCTGACCACTCTGAAAGGTCCCGGATAGAGTTGGAGAATAATGTAAAACAAAACTCAAAAAAAAAAAAAAGGTCAGACTCACTGGTCTGACAGACTGCTGGAACCCCTGAGACTATGACCCGCAGTAACCCTTCAAGCCTGGAACTGAAATCATCCCAGTGTCTCAACTTTCAGCCAAACAATTGTTGTTGTTGTTGTTATGTGCCATCCAGTCGGACCGACTCATAGGAAGCCTCCTTGGGTTTCAGAGGTAGGGAGCTCTGGTAGCATAGTGGCTAAGGCACTTGACTGCTAACTAGAAGACTGGCGGTTCAAACCCACTAGCCACTCCTCGGAAGGAAGATGAGGCAATCTACTTCCTTAGCGATACTGCCTGGGAAACCCAAGGAGGGGTGGCTATGAGTTGGGTCCGACCGGATGGCAAATAACAACTTCACCATTGCAAACTGTGTAGGCGGGGCCAGGAACCCGCATGCGCATTTCTAATCGTACCTCTTCTTCCCGCTAAAGTTGGAGGACGGCTGTTTGAGCTGGTTTTAGTGCAAGAAGACCTAGTAGGCCGCCCAGAAAGGATGTTAATGGAGCTCGGGAAAGGATAACGAACACCAGAAGCGTGGGCAGCTACTAAATCTGCACGCCGGCCCGACAGCGAAGCGGGCGTAGGAGGAGGAAGTCAGAAGTTTGAACAGCGCCCCACAACCCCAGACTGTCATTCACAGCAGCCCCATCGGGGGACCCACATTACCATCGCGAGCAGCGCAGCAGTTTCTCCAGCCGGTCGAGTGCAACGCGGCTGTGGGGCCAGGAGCCAGGACCCGCTGGCTCCATAGGGGGCGTGGGACGAGACTCGTTCCCGGAGCGGACTCTCAGCTGCCGATCCCGCAGCATCGCCCCGCCTCCGCGGGAAAATCTTCTTCAGAAACGGGAGAGCTGGCGGACTAGGGTAACGAGGGAAACGCGAGGGCTTGTGACCGGATCCAGACCCGAGCTCTAGCCGTTTTCGCGCCTCCACCAGCCCAACGCCTGGGGGGCGGGGCGGCAGGGGCAGAGCGCGCGGGACCGGGGGGCGGGTCCTGTGCAGCGCGCCAGAAACCGGCGCCCAGACGGGGCGTGCGGATCGGACGTGAAGCTCAGGCTCTGAAAGCTGGCCTCGTGGGCGGGGCCTAGGGGCGGGGTCGTGAATGTGCTTTTGAATTTGGCTGGACCCGAGGGCGGGGTCGGGAAAGCCAGTTTCCCACCGGCTACATGGTTATATAACCGTCTTTGGCGGTCTCGGGTAATAAACCCCAAAACAAAACAAAGTTTTGCTTTCCGGTGCAGAGAGCCTGGGGACCCTCACATGGACTAGACTGATGGAGAATTGCAAGCCGAGAAACTTGCAGTTGGTCTTTTTCTATAAATAATGCTGTTTTGTGTACTGTGAACCCTGGAAAAGCTTTGCTCCGGACTAGCATGCAAAGCTCTGGTAGCGCAGTGCCTAAGGCACTTGACTGCTAACCAGAAGGCTGAGGGTGAACCCACCTGCCACTCCTCGGAAGGTTGGGCAATCTACTTCCATAGTGATACCGCCTGGGAAACTCAAGGAGGGGTCGCTATGAGTCAGGTGGACTCCAGGGCACAAAACAACAACAGCATGCAAATCGTTAGGATTTGTAAGCTTGAAGGAACTGCTCTCTCTATTCCTAAGAAAACCAAAAAACACTGCCCTGAGTGGGATCCGACTCATAACCATCCCTACCTGGGTGTCTGAGGCACTATCTCTAGGGAAGTAGATTGCCCAAACTTCCTTTTGAGGAATGGCTGGTGGGTTTGAATCGCCAGCCTTCTGGTTAGCAGTTAAATGCTTTAGGCACTATGCCACCAGAGCTCCTAATTCCTAGGAAAGTACCTTTTAAAAGTACCTTTCAAATTTACTTTTTTTTTCTCCAGTTCTGGAGTATACATAAGGCACTCCGTGGAAGGAAGACCAGGTAATTTACTTCCGTAAAGATTTACCGCCTTGGAAACCCAATGGGGGTCCTATGAGTTGGAATTGACTCCATGGCAATGGGGGTTGTTTTTGTCTTTGGGGGGGGCAGTATAAGAAAAAATAAAGGCTTTTATCTAATTTAACTAGTTACAAATATCTGATCAAATGGATGTTAAAGAAGTCCTGGATTGCTTGTAAAACATCCCTGGAATAAAATTTAAAAAAACTTTGCTTGCTGGAGAATGTGTCTACTTTCCTCATAAGGATCATTCATTGGTTACAGTATTTCAAAGATTGTAGCACCTACTGAACATGCCTTCATCACCCAAATCTGGTAACAATTCGTTATCAAATCCTTCCATCTGCCCTTCCAACTCTGCCCACTTCTCTCCACCTCCCCTTCACCGTAGTCCTTACTGATATCATCCACACCTGGATTTATGCCATATCTTTCTAACTAATGCCACTCCTCGGAAGGAAGGTTGGGCATTCCTACTTCCGTAGTGATACTGCCTTGGAAACCCAAGGAGGGGTCGCTATGAGTCGGGGCCGACTCGATGGCAAATAACAACAACAACAACAACAATATCTCTGTGTTCAACAAGGTCTCCTCCAATCCTTAAGTTATATTAAACCAAACCAAACCAAACTCGCTGCTGTCCAGTCAGATCCAATTCACAGCAACCCCTCTTTGGGTTTCTGAGGTGGTATCACTACGGAAGTAGGTTGCCCAATCTTCCTTCTGAGGAGTGGCTGGTGGGTTTGAACTGCCAGCCTTCTGGTGAGCAGTCAAATGTCTTAGGCACTACACCACCAACAGAGCTCCCTAAGTTACATTACAGCCGTCTAAAACATTTTTGAACACAAAACTCATCATGGCATGTCCTTTTTTAAAAGCTTTTCCTTGCTCTTAGAATAGTCCAGAATGATGACCATGATCTACAGAATTATGATCAGCCTCTTGTCAATACACTCCCTCACCCCACCCAGGGCTTTTCTGTAGGACACTGAAAGCACCTACACCCTACTGCCTCAGGGCTTGTGTGCAAAAAATCCCTTTGGAACTTGGAATGTCTTCTCCAGGTTAAAAGAACCCAATCTTCAGATCTCAGCTAAAATGCCAACCTTTCAAGGAAGGTTTTGGTTCCTCAGCTAGACGACATTCCAAGTACTTCATATCACCACAGTTTGTAGACAGACATACGTTGTTTTTGTCTGCTCAGCTTCCTCCAACTCATGACCACCACAAGGACAACAGAAGGATATGTCTGGTGCTTCATGACCATTGGCATGCTCTAGTACATTGTTATGGCCACTGTGTACTTTGAGTGCTTTCCAGCTTAGGGGACTCATCTTCTAGTACTAGACTGGACAATGATCTGTTAGTTCCATTGGGTTTTCATTGGCTAATTTTCAGAAATAGATCGCCAGTCCTTCCTTCCTGCACTATCATAGTCTAGAAGCTTGGCTGAAACCATCCACCATGAGTGACTCTGCTGGTATTTGAAACACTCATGGCATATCTTCCAGCATAAGAGCAGCACACAGGCCACCACAAGATGACAAACTGGCAGGTAGGTGATGGGCATGAGTGTGTACGTGTTTCCCTTCCAGACCAAAAGCTCCAAGAGGCCACAACCCACAAAACCAACCCACTGCCGTCGAGTCAGATCCAACTCATAGCGACTCCTCCTTGGGTTTCTGAGGCAGTATCACCACAGAAGTAGATTGCCCAACCTTCCTTCTGAGGAGTGGCTGGTGGATTTGAACCCCCAGCCTTCTGGTTGCCAGTCAAATGCCTTAGGCGCTACGCTACCAGAGCTCCCCCAAGAAGCCACAGACAGTTGTGTTTATCTTGTTTGCTATTGCAGCAACAGCACCTGGCTCCAAGTAGGTGTCCAGTTATTTATTGTTACTGCCTATATAACATGACCTGTTCCAAGTGCTTTCCTACAATGCCTTCTCTAACCCTCAAATGAACCCCATGAAATGGATATTAGTTTCTTTTACAAGAGGAGGTAGCTGTGAGTAAGAGAGATAAATTTACTTGCCCAGGGTAGAGGCACAAATAAAGGCAGAAGCCAAATTTGATCCCAGATCTGTCTGATTCTTAATGGCTAAACTAAATCATGCATACTCAAGGAGTTTGAGTAACTTGTCCCAACCAAATACCTGGTTAGTAAAAGTAGAAGGAGTACCACTAAATAAGGTCCTTTATAAGATGACAAGACCTATGATAACACTTTAAGGAGTTCTGGTGGCATTGTGGATAAGACACTAGACTGCTAACCGGAAGATCAGTAGTTCAAATCCCACCAGCCTCTCCTCAGAAGGAAAATGAAGCAATCTACTTCTGTAAAGATTTACAGCCTTGGAAACCCAATGGGTATTGCTGTGAGTCAAAAATGACTTGATGGCATTGAGTGGTTTTTTTAGATGATACCTTAGCTGCACTGAAGGAACTGGCAAAAATCAAGGCTCCAAGAATTGACAGAATACACATTGAGATGTTTCAACAAATGGATATAGCACTGGATATAGCATTCTTTTATGCCAAATAATTTGGAAGACAGCTACCTGGCCAACTGACTGGCATAAATCCATATTTATGCATATTTCAAAAGGTTTATGTGTGTTTTAAGGAGCTCTGGTGGTGCAGTGTGTAAGGAATTTGACTGCTAATCAGAAGGTTAGCAAACCCACCAGCCACTCTGTGGAGGGGAGATGGGGGAATCTACTTCTGTAAAGATTTACCTCCTCAAAAACCCAATGAGGATTGCTATGAGTCAGAATCAACTCGATGGCAGTGGGTTTGGCTTTTTTATGTGTATTTTATTGAGTAAATTATGGACAACATTTTGAAGAATGGGAATTCCAGTACCTTAACTGTGCTCATGAGGAACGTGTACAAGAGGAAGTCATTCAAAAAGAAGGTGATACCACGTGGATTAAAATCAGGGAAGGTGTGCGTCAGGGTTGTATCCTTTCACCATACTTATTTAATCTGTATGCTGAGCCAATAATCTGAGAAGCTGGACTATATGAAGAAGAACATGCCATCAGGATTGGACGAAGATTAATTAATATGCAGATGATACAACATTGCTTACTAAAAGTAAAGATGACTTGAAGCACTTACTGATGAAGATCAAACACTTCAATCTTCAATATAGGTTGCACCTCAACATAATGAAAACAGATAGAAGTTGTCAGGGACTTCATTTTACTTGGATCCACAATCAACACCCGTAGAAGCAGTGTACAAGAAATCAGATGACATATTGCACTGGACAAATCTGCAAAAGACCTCCTTCAAGTGTGAAAGAGCAAAGATGTCACTTTGAAAACAAAGGTGCACCTGACCCAAGCCATGATCTTTTCAATAGCTTCATATACATGTGAAACCTGGACAATGAATAAGGGAGACTGCAGAAGAATTGATGCATTTGAATTGTGATGTTGGAGAATACTGAATGTACCATGGATTGCTAGAAGAATGAACAAATCTATTTTGGAGGAAGTACAGCCAGAATGGTCCTTAGAAGTAAGAACGGCCAAACTTCATCTCTCATACTTTGGTTATGTTGTCAGAAGAGACCATTCCCTAGAGAAGGATATCATGCTTGGTAAAATAGAGGGTCAGCAAAAAACCAGGAGACCCTTAACAAGATGGATTGACACAATGCCTCTGATGATGGGTTCAAGCATGGCAACAATTGTGAGGACTGCACAGAACAAGGCAGTGTTTCATCCTGCTATGCATAGTGTTGCTGTGAGTGGGAACCAATTCGATGGCACCTACCAAACACATAACACCCTAAACCAATCACGTATTTATTTTAAAACTCAAGGGTATCCAAGAAGTTAGTTCTTGATTATTAACCCCAGAAAACCATCATTTATTCTTTTTCTAAGCCTC